ATACTTGAGATTTCATACTCAGGTGTTATCTACTTAGGAAAATTGTCATGTCACTTGCATTATCCTAGTCCAAAGAAGAGTAAGTATTTTGTCCCTTTGTGTAATTTATAAATCTAGCCACTTTCCCCCATCTATTTAGTATGGTATTTTAAACATCTGTTTAAACAAGTGCACATGGGTTTAAAGACACCATTAGAAAAGGCAATACCAGGTAACTTTATCCTTGGGAAGTTATACTATTCCTGATGTATTTCAATGGCATAATAGAAAAAAAACCAGACATCTCTGCATCTGTTTGTTAGTGTGAATATTGTCACAGCTGACAACAAACAAACACAGTTTTCCTGCAGCAATGCAATATGGGACAAATCATTGCAACTTAATGGCAACTTAATACACACAATTAACTTTCCCCTGTGAATCATCCAACCACAAAATATGCCCACCACCTCTGTTTCAATCAGCCCTACGAGTGTTAACAGAAGTTTGTTGCAATCAAATTCTCCAAGAAGAAAAACATTATAAATAATGTTGGCACCCACCTGTAAATTCTGAAATGACTGATGAGAAATTTATACATTAGTTGGAGAAAAGACTTGTGTGTTCTCTCAGTCTGGATTCTTGCTATGCATGTCACTCCTCTGCATTTAGATGGAGCAGCTTGATTTATACTGAGGAAGAGTATGTAATTTCTTCTCTCCTAGCAATATAATAACATTCAGAGATCTGCTTCACCACAATTCTTTGTGAATAACTGAAACGGGAACGTGCATTTCTCCTTATTCCCTCTACCCTTCCTTGAGGTTGGAATTGCTGCTAATTAAACGTGTTAATTGGTGTCTCCACTCGGAAATTCCACATTTTATATGGGGGGTGGGGGGAGAATAACAAAAATACTGATATTGGTAAACTTATAATCTACTTAGTTTCAAAGCATAACCCTTAAAACCTGTTTCACCATGTCAGGGAAATAATTTTTACAAGATTTCTGTTAAAGCTTAATTTTCTCTTGAGCGTTTTTAAAAATGTTTTATATCTAGTGTTCTTTGCTTTCTGTTGAGTGGCATTAATCCTCAAGAGCCTCAGGCTGTTACCAACATGAACATAGGGTCTCAGTGCTAAAGCACCCAGAACCGCTTAGGGAAAGGCAGAGAAAAGAGAACAACATTTCAGAAGTAGTTTGAAACTCTCTTGATTTTACGTGCATGTGTTTGACTTTGTATAAAGAATAACCATTAGCAACTTTCCCTCTTGCATCCTTACTGTTTAGAAAAGTCCTTGTCCTCAAAAAGGCTGTCTGATTTCTATCTTGCCCAGTTTATGCTGGGACAGTCTCAGTCTCCTTCTCCCAAACTCTACTCTAAGGACCATATAAACAAACTCTGTTAGAGCTATTGAGGACTAATGAGTTTTACTGATGTTTGGAAGAGAAATGGTGAGAAAAGATAAGATGAGGACAAGTCAAGAAAATGGGCAGTGGGAGCTGGTGGGAGGAATAAGCTTTGAAGATTATTTGAGCAAATGAGGAGGAACTAAAATTCAGTATGAATACTAGAACTTTAGCATTAACAAGTTTCTGTGCTAAGCATGTCCAGGACTAAGTCATCAGTTTCCTTCAGATTTTGACTTCAGGCCTCCATCCAGCAAAATCCAGCCTGAGTAGGATTATTGAACTCAACCTATGTCAATGGGATTGGCTCATATGCTTAAATTTCAGCATGAACTTAAGTGCTTTGCTTGTTCCAGTCTATGATTGCTTTCTAAGTGGCAAACATCTATCAAGCACAGTGCAGGTGTGCAAGGGATACCCATTGCAAATCATGCAGCAGGTTTTGTGAATCACAAAGCAACTCTCTGCAGGACATCAGACTCCATGTTTTTCCATGTAGACAATCATTCTGAGTTTAACAACAGCCATTCAGACTCACATATCCAAGAGCTGCCAGTCTGCAACTTATTTATTCAAAATTCAGTCCTTAAAACTTCCTTCCAGTGGCTTTTATACTAATCCTTTATATTATGATATGCATCCATCATCACAATTTGGAGAACTGTAAGCCGTGATCCCCTGGAACTTCACATTTCAAAAACTTCTCTTCTAGAGAACAGAAATTTTATAGATTGCTTTTCCTATGTCTGTCTCCACTTCCTCTTTTATCCTAGATGATTTCAGTAGAGACCAAAAGTAGCCCAAGTCACCTTGTTGTAAATACAAGTAGACACTGAATTTCACCAAAGTGTTGTGCTATTGTCTGTGACCTTCAATAACACATCAAATGTGGATGTAATAGAGGAAGAAGTATTCCAGCAGAGGAAAATCTTTGGATGCCTTCCCTAGGAAGAAGGAAAGCAAGCATCCTCGTCAGTGTCCTTAAAAAAGTTTGCATGACTTGTGAACGGCCCACCTGGAGCAACCTCAGAGCTCAAGCCTGCAGAAAAACAATTTTGAAATCTGTTCCAGAAATTTCCATCAGTCATAAAAGCAGAAACCTTATGACATCAAGGACAATGGCAAAAAAATAAAATTGGCAGACAGCAGAAAAACACTGAAGGTCAAACTCAGTATGAGGATCAAGCACTTACTAGCTTACCATCACTTGACTACAAGAGACCCATCTGATTTATAATCCTAAGTGCCACATCCTTACATTTAAGACACTGGCTTTTCTACACTAGACGTGGTCCTTAGATGGTGTAAAGGTGTCTGTTCATATCAACAGAGATCCCAGGGGGTTATTTCTGTGGTGAAAGATGGCTAAGAATTCCACAGCAGCTATCCAAAATCTAACCACACTTTATCAGGGTCAACATACAGCTGAAGCAAACAGGAGGATGTTTATCAACTATTGCATATCAAGCTCCTTACAATCAGATAGGCATCCTTTGATACAAAGCCATGATTTTTCACTCTTTTTTTTTTTTATGGTGAGAGGGATTATAAGAAATTATATATATTCAGAAGTTATGTCTCATATTTGTGAAGTGCTGAGATTATTTGTATATATGTGCTCCTCAGATTAAGTTGATTAAAAAAACCCCCTTACTAGTGTATGTATATGCATACAGCCCTCCTTATGTTGCACATTTGTTTGCGAATAGAGCATTTTTTAAAAAACCCTAGTTTCTCTGAAATGTATGCACAATTTCTAAAAGATGCCCTGGCCACATAATAAATAGTAGCTAAATTAAAAATTAGCAGAATGGCAGTAATAAACAGATCAAAGACCTCCCTGTGCTAATATCCATATGAGGAATAAACCATGGTATTTCCTATCCCGTAATGCATGCCGTGGTTCTGATCCATAGGTCTCGCATTTTTTTGCCTGCACACAGGCACGCACAGGCTCACAGAGCAATGTGAAAGTCACAAGTCCCTAGTGTAATTCATGCTCCAGTTCAGCAGCTGTGGGGGGTTTGCTGAAGACAAAGTGGCCAAGAAATTCCTGAGAGAATAAGAATGGTTGTTAACAGTTCTGAGAAAGTCTTCCTCTGGGTTATTATCCCATAGAGAGAGATAGTGTGGTTTGGCGGTCTTAAGCAAACAGACAGCTCTGAGAAACTACACATACTCCCTCTGAGATTACAGCAAATGAAAAACAAAAAACCATCCTCTCTTAAAAGTGGTTTGAAGCATTCGTGATACTGTCAGTGAAGTACTTGGGCTTCTTCCTGCTTTGTGCATCAGGTCACAGTTTCCATACTCCCAAAGGAAACAGCATTGGCTGAGCAAGAGAAAGTCCCATTTACTCTTACTGTTGTCTTTTCAAAGCTGGCCTTGTTGAACAGGGCTGAGGCACAAGCACATTTAATAACTGACAGCCACCAAAGAACCATGCAGTAGCACCTCAAAATGGGCACTCCTGTTTAAATTACTTACACCTGGGACACTGCTTACACACATTAAAGTAACTGAAGGAAAAGTTGCCTGAAAAATGTATTTTCTTGTAGCATTTTCTAACCCCTTGAGCTAGCTGGCAAATGAAAGATGGGATGCATTTCTAGGGCACTGGAAGTCAGAATTACAGTAAAAAACTACCTGGCTAACTAGCTTAAGACAATTTTAAGATTTCAGAAGTGACAGGCTCCTTTCTCCTGACACTACCTACTTACATTGCCTAAAGCAACACAGGTTAAACTCTCAAAGAAACACTTTCTTAATATACCTGGAGTACTGAGCACGAACTATTTCCTCAACTGCCTCTCATGCATTTTAAGCTGTATCCAAGCAAATCAAGTTAACACGGTAGATGGGGAGAAGAAACATAGTTCTGTGACTAAGAAGCAAGGCTACAACTCAACTGCTGGTACTCCCACAGATTTCCCAGCTCAGTCTTCTGTGCTCCTTCTGTCTCTGAAAAAATAACACCAATAGAAATAGTTCTAATATCTAACCTCTACATTTTTTTTGTGTTATGTTTCTTAGTGTGCTGAGACAGTGTTTAGCACAATCAAACACTGAAGTTTTTTTACTGGTGCATTAGTGTGGCTCTCTGTTTGCTGGTACCAAACATCCAAACAGCCCTTGGGAGAGCATTGGATAGCACCACTCATCTCTCTGATGCATTGTCATATGGTCCAGATGGCTGCAGTATGTAGGCAACTGGGAACCAAAGCAGCAGGAGGAGTACATCCTGCTGCAATTTCCTTCTGGTGCTGATCTTGATGCATTCAGATTTAGATTAGTTTGTGGTTAGGAAGTCCACAGGCCTGGGCGGCCTAAGACCTAGCAAAAAAATACACTGTAGCTTGCCAGTATGAAATGACCGGATTTTGCCCCAAAAACTCTGTAAAGGTTACTGCAGCTCAGCCAAGGGAAAATTCCCTCCTGTGCAGAGTGAATTATGAGTTCCACAAGGGTGGCAATCTCTTCCAAGTGGGTCTGTTATTGAAGAAAAACTCAGAACTCTCTGTACTTTAGCAGATTAACTATTACTATGATGTACAAACCCAGAGAAAAATAGGAAACTAGACTTCTTCCATTTGGCAAATGCAATTTTATTTCTGGATTAGTTGTGAGAATTAAACATTTTAAATATTCTAACATATATACCTGCCACACACATTAACTGGCATACTGGAAGAATACTACAAATAAAGTCAACATAAGTAAGCATCTGCATATAAGTACCAAGTTCTCAGGAATGTAATTGTTATTTTTACGTGCTGGAAAAGAGGAGGGCTTCCAAACCTTGAAAAGGCAAGACTTCAAATTCCGTGGGAATTTGATATTCCAATGAACTGTCTCTCAGTAGAACAGGTGAGAAAAATCTAAACACAGCATGAAAAACAGAACACAAACTGGCAGGTACAAGAAAGGAAAAAGACAATGACATTTCTTACGAGATATCTCTGTAATATAATTACTAAATCTACAACTTGCAATAATACTTGAAACCAAGCTAGTATCAATTTTATGGTCTTGAGGAATTTACTCAAATCTAAGGCACAGAGTCACCAAGAGCAGAAAGTTACACTTGGTGGCTTCCTGCACAGTTTAGTCACATATATAGGCTCACTGAGAACAAAGTACAAAACAGCAGACTGTGAATCACACCCAAATTTCCCACCCATGACTATATGAGGGAGGAATTTTTGCCAATACAAATACTCGGGAATAGGGATGTGACTGCACATAATGATTTTATATGAGCTACTTGCTAGTTATTTACGCTGCTGGTACAGAAGATGCTCTATACTCTATGAGCAACACAATCAAAATTATATCGTTATAATGCACGCATTTCTGGTATTCCCAGTTCTTTCACCGGCAGGGTTTTTATGGTCAAAAAACCCTTACAACTGAGACACAAAAACGGACATTGAGAGAGCTACAAGAATATGAGAACAGAAGTTACCTGTGTACTTTCCCATTTTCCCATGAAAATCACTATCTAGGAAGTAAAAATATAATTCTTTTCACACCCAAACTGGCCTGTGAACGTGTATTCACAAGTGTTGCATGTGGGAACAGACGTGTTCTATCTTCATTTGTCATTTTAGAGTCTATTTCCAGGAAAACTGAAAGATTATTTGCAAAATTTGGCCCCTCAAAATAGCAAAAAGAGATCGAGCGCTCACAGTCTGAACTATGCTGGTCAGCAGTTCTTTTCAATCATTGTGCAAAAGAAGTTTTGCTGTATGTCTGTAGAATGATAATAAATTATTCAAACTATCTGAAGAATCTGATGTCTCTAGTTCAATTTACAGGTCAGTCAATAAAGGTACATTTCACATAGTTATTGATTTCCTGTTAATTTACTGAGCAGCAGGTTTCTGTTGAGAAGAGATTCCATTTCAAGAGTTGTAGTCTTCCTTAAAAAAATGTCCTGGGGGAAAAAAAAAAAAGATAGTGAAAAACATGTTGTTAGCTCTCATGCAACTTTTAATCTTTCTAGTGAGCACAGATTTAAACTGGATCTTAAGTAGTTTTGATTTGTATTATAAGTAATAATTGAGAAGACCCACATGCAGCAAGAAATCTTCCCTTGGTAGTTCTAGAGATCTTTGACTGTACTTACAGTGATTACAGCCACAGAGAAACCATACAGAGTAAACTGAATCTCAGAGACAAGGATAATTTCAGAACAAACCCATTCTACAGATATATGACAAAATAATAGAGACAAACTTCACTGAAATCAAACACTCATGAATACTTGTTTACAGGCACACTGTGAATAATCCAAATGGAAACTTGTTCTTTGGACAAGCCTTCACAAGAAAATAATTTATAGTTGCTTGTATACTGATGAACTCACAAAGCCGCAGCAGTGGTCCACAGATAAGGAAAAAACCTTAGGTTAATCCTACTTGTTTAGAAAGGGCCTATTTATTTAATAGTCTAGCAGGTGGTAAACCAGTTCTGCAGAGGATCTCTGAGGGACTTTATGAAGTAGAAACTAAATACTTATGTTTTAATAGCACAGGCATGGCAAAAGCCCAAAGAACACTCCAGCTCCAGCATGCCAGGAACAAAAGCAAGGATGGCAAGCAATGCACAGGCAGGCTCATGCTATAAAAATAACACAGCCTCACAATGGCCAGTCATGTTAAGCCAGGTGTGCTATTCACCATGAGGGACACTGCAGTGGTTACAGCTGCAGGAGATATCCTTGTCTGTACACAGGTGCACTGCCTTCAAAAACCTTTCTGTGTGTGTTGGGACTGACTGCTGATGAGGGAATGGTAGGGCTAAATATACAAAATATAAATACAAAAGTAACAGTTATTTCCTTGCCCATTAGTTTATGCACAGGCATTAAACAAAATTTCACATTAATCTACAGTTGGTGTTAGGCAGTAAAACTGATTCACAGCAAGTAATACTCCAGTACTCTGCATAGAGCAAGAGCCCAGGTTAACAGTGACTACAAAACCTTGCTCTGCCATCTTACTTGGTAGTAAGGATATATTAAAATCTCTTTCAATCAAACTAGAAAGCATGGGTCTCACTCTTGAAACTGTTTGTCCAAAGTAAAACAAGCTGTATGACTTGATACCTCTATCGTACTTGTAGCTGTAGATTCTTCTGTTTCACACCTGTGCTGATTATCTTTAAAACAAGGATGCTGTGAACATTGGCAAGACACCCAAATCCCTTAATCTGTTTTGAAAATAGCTTGCTTAGACAAGAAAAATAACTGCAATCTAATTAAAAAAAAAAAAAACAAACAAAAACAAAACAAAAAAAACCAAAAACCAAAAACAAAACAAAAAACCAAAACAAAAAATCACCAAACCAAACAATAGAATTAAACGTCTGGTTGTGATGCAGAATGTTTACAGGAATTTGTTTCCCTAAATTATGATCTATGGGAATATAGTAAATGACTCAGACTGAAGTTAAGTGTAACTTCTAAAAAAAACCCCAAACCCTAAATCCTCAAACTTTAAACTGAAAGTATGAGTGTGTAGTCACGTACAACCAATTCTGAGAATCACAATTTTGCACTCTGGGAACCACTGCTGTAATGCATGACAGCTACTTATAACTATCAAATTAGCAACCATGTAATGCAGGAGGTTATATAGTCCATAAGAAGAAGAAGATACTTGAAAAATGTGTGACAAAAAAAGCAAACTAGCTATTGTTACTCAGCTTTTAATCCCCAGAGAAAAAAGCTTATGCACTTACATTTCATCATCGTATTCTTTTGGAGGTGATGCTGCAATGACTAAGTCAATCCAATCCTGAAAAAGAAGAGCAGAGGCAAACATCTGCTGCTAAATACTGCTTTTAGAGGTGGCCAGTGGACCACCACAGAATATCAGATGGAGAATCTGGGAGGTAATCTATTCCTGGAAAACCACAGGGAGAAGGAGCAAGGTCTCTATTAAAAACTTCTATAGGAAGACCATTTAATGATTGAGCTGTTTGATTTATAGTTTGAAATTAAAGAAAGATCTACTGTTGCAACAAGATTTAAAAAAAAAAAAAGTTATTCTAAGAGTCATCCTGTACTGGTCCTCTGAGCAATGAGAACAGTTCTTGCTGTGCAAACACTCGCTGTAGCTGAAGAGCAATGTTGCTTGTACATCAAGAACTCAAAGGTAAGCTATTATCAGAAAATTCCAATCAGCTTGCAAGTAATTTTCAATATCCAAGAGTGATTCTACATGTAAATGTACTATAAGTACTCAGAATGTAATGTGTTTAATACCAATCTTGACATGTGGCTAAATGCCATGAAATTTCCCAATAAATTACACACATGGTTTTTAGAGATGGTACATACCAGCATCTTCTGCAGATTTTAGCTTACTTTGGGTGTACCTGATGTACCCACTACTTTTGATGTTTGTAACCTTGTTTGTGTTGACATGACAAAGTCAAGTAGAGAAGGAGCTCTCATATGAGCTCTGTAGGTAGAACGAAGTAGTATTCCAGGTTACTTACCCCACCCATGTTCCAAGCTTTTGCTAGAGTTGCCTGTGCTTCTGCCAGCTTGCTGTCAATTAATATCTTGCCATTTACAGCCAGTATTTCATCCCCTTTCACTATGCCTCCTGGGGAAAAGACAAATGTGTCAGATACACATAAGCAAAACAAAATTCTAGGAGCCTTTTCTGTGCCATATTTGTGCAGTACTGACTAAAATGAAAAGTGTTCTCACTGGATGTGAAGGTCTGCACTAAAAATGGTAGGAAGTTTGCTACAGGATTTTTAAGCATGGCAAAGACAAACTAATTTCTTATTGATCATGACCAGTAAGAAACTAGTTCAATGTGATTTTCTACAGTTTGCCTGTTTGCATAATCCAGCTATACAGCTTAAAAACTGTGAGTGACTATAGAATGTTACTACTATGCCCCATCCCCTGGGGAAATGTTAAAGGCCAGATGGGATGGGGCTTTTGAGCAACCTGGTCTAGGGTAGGGTGTCCCGGCCCATGTCAGGGGCTTGGAATGAGATGATCTGTAAGGTCTCTTCCAACACAAAAAATTCCATTATTCTATAAAAATGGCAAAAGTAATTAAATTCCTGAAGGAATAAAGTGCCATTTCTCAAGGGTTTGCATGACGGTCATTTTTTTGCAAGTATATGTGCAGTGTTTGCTCCTTAGAACTTATTTTGACTTGCTGGTCTGGAATGAAGCCCAACCAGTTAACTGGAACTGGATTTGAAGAGGATGGTAAGAGGACAGCCTTAGTTATGAGAGATCCTAAAAAGAGTGAAGGGCCAAAAAGAGTGCTGAGGAGATCAAATAACTGAAATGTTTTCACTTGAACTTAGGTGCAGGCTGGGACAAGGACCGCAGACAGTGTAAGGGAATATTGCCCTCTCTGCTGACCTGGTCATCACAAGAGTTCTCAAGAAAAGGATGGCAGATACTTCCCACCAGGTGCAAAGCCCAAATGTGTTGGTGAGCATGTTCTTGTGCCTTCGAGAGCTAAGCTTCAGAGGCCCTGGCCATTAGTTGCATTTTAGGAGTTGGGTTTTAGTTGGGTTTTTAACAGCCAGCTGCTTAACTGGACAAATTACTATTTAAAGTAGCATAAAGAACAAAACTAAGCAGTGTAGTGTAGCTATGGTCAGGTAATTGCTTTGCATGTGGAAGTATTACAAATGTCATTGCTTGGAAATTGTGAAATAATAGAGAACACATTCTTTGACTAAAGAATACACCAGAGAATCAGGTGTTGGTTTTATAAATTTTACATAATTATTAATTTAATTTAAGCAGCACATATGGGCTGCCCTTAAACTTAAGACAGAACTTGGATCCTTGGGCAATCTAAGTGAGCCTTTCAGTACCAGGCTATGAGGTCAGCCAGCCATTCTCAGCCAGTGTAAGGAAACACTTTTCAACAGCATTCAAATTCCCCATTGTTGCTCACCATGTTTGTCTGCAGCACCATCCTCGTAGATGGCAGACACAACTATCTTTCCAATTGGAGAATCAATTCCTCCCTCGACTGCAAGGTCCAGTGATCCTTCCTATGAAAAGAACAGTTCTAGATCAGAAAAATCTGTTAATTTTTGCCATTAACAGGTGCTTTATCTTTCCTTCTTCCCAGTACATAAAATGCTTACATGAACGTTTTAAATATCAATCAACCAACAAAGTAATTACCTTTTTTATTCGTAATAGCCGTACGTCTTTTCCTATAATCTGGTCTGGGGTAAACTGAAAAGATATAAACATTAATCACTTCCACTTTGAAAACACAAAACAATTAGGCTGATCTATGTAATTTTTTGGGGAAAAGGGACCTTTCCCCCCTCTAAAATAGTGTAAGAGGGAGACCAGAACACCACATCACATTTTCCTGTAAGAACACTCCTGTTCAACATGACCAGAAAAGACAAATACACAAGACCCAGAAAAGCAACAAGCAAGAATCTTACCTAGTCCCAGTCCTCAAAATCAAGGATTTAGCTTTTTTCAAAAGTTTTTCATATTAAACAATGAGGCATGTTTAAAGTCTCTCCTTACCATTGAATATGGATCAAAATCTTCCACATACTTCTGGAAGCCCTGAGAATAAAATTATATTTAATTGCAAAACCAGCAATTCACTCACACACTTTAACACACAAATTCCATCTTATTTATTAGTGAGAGTACATGTAATTCTGTAAGCTATGAAAGAAGACAGAAACTAAAGAAAAGCCCAGAGAGACAGCAAAGAGTCCATCCTGACAGACAGAAGACATTTCAAAACCTCATGACAGATCAATAATTTGAGTTGGTCATACAATGGAGCATTTCTGAGGAAGAGTTTACCACCTGTCAGCTCCATAGCTCCTCTCTACACCTGACAGAACAGAAACAAATCTTGAAAGCACCATAGGCAGATATGTTCTGCCACACTGTTTGGAGCAATATTTCTTGGGATTATCAACACGTTGGATGGTAACAGGTAAAAATGACAGGCTCCAATTCACCCGTCAGCAGCACTATCGCACACTGTCTGGGTTTTAGGATTCTTTTTCAGACCCCTTCTCTCCCTCTTGATGTGGAGTTTCAGGGAGTTGGCTCCATACCACAAGCAAATGCAGGACAAAAATTTTTTAGACAATTTGCAGGACAACAATATGATTTTTGTTTTCATATGGTTCTGTGGAGGACTTAAAAGTGTTTGTTAGACAATTTGCAGGGGACAACAATATGATTTTTGTTTTCATGGTTCTGTGGAGGACTTAAAAGTCAGGGAATGTCTGAAACATTCAGAACTTAAGAAAATCTTTACTGAGGCACCTAGCTCCCACTCTTGTGGCCTCAAGCTGCAACAATCTGGTGACAGGGCAACACAGAACCACACAACCCTTTGCAGACACAGCAGGCAAGCCAATACCTTACACAGACCAGTGGTTCAAGCTTGATATATTCATTATTGCCTCTTTTCTACTGGATCTGTTTGAGAGCAAAGACTATTCCACTGTCAGAGTCACCTAAGTATTTTTCCACTTGTAAACCAAACACACAACTTAAGATTCCTGTGGTGTATTTCAGGGCTGGCTGTTAAATGGCAAAGTTGCAGCAGAAAGTACAAATGCCTCCTCTGCTATACTCTTTATCACCTCCTTTGGTTGTCTAATTTTGATGTGACTATGAACCTTCTGGGTTCTGATCTCAGCCATAACAGAACTGCCTTACATTAAGTTTGTTACACTGCGTTACATTTGTTAACCAGATAAATGAGAATTTCATGACAAAAATCGGCAAGGGCAGAATTTTGTCCTGGGGGAAAAGCTTCAATCAATCATTCATTATTTTACAAGGTGTATTAATATTATGAACCATTTAACTAAAACTGTAAGAGAAACATTTTACAATGAAAGCTACCCAAAAAATTAATACTTTGAATAATTGAATTAATACTGCCTTTTGGAATCGTGGCTAAAGTAGGTATCTATGGGTTTAGAGAGTAATTTAGAGAAAAGAACTCCAATCTCAGCCAAGTCACTAAGTCATTATGTAATCTGAAGGAAGTCAGTGAACTCTTTGTCCCAGGTTGTCCTCATGAAAAACAGATGTTGCCCTTGAAGGAAGCTTCCCTGGGAAAATAATCTTTAAACAGGAAAAAAACCCCAAAAAGCTCCACAAAAACAAGCACACACATTAAAAAACATCACAAAAAACAACCCCCCAGTCTGCAAGCAAAAGTCATAGAAACATAGAATATGTTGAGTTGGAAGGATCAACAAGTCCAACTCCTGGCCTGCACAGCCCAATCTGCAAGCAAAAGTCATAGAAACATAGAATACGTTGAGTTGGAAGGAACCCACAAGGATCACCAAGTCCAACTCCTGCCCTGCACAAAGTGACACCATGCACCTAAGGGCACTGTCCAAACACTTCTTGAGCTGTCAGGCTGGTGCCTCTGGAAGCCTCTTCCAGTGCCCAACCACCCTGTTGGTGAAAAAACATTTCCTAATATTCAGTGTCCAAACACTTCTTGAGCTGTCAGGTTGGTGCCTCTGGGAGACTCTTCCAGTGCCCAACCACCCTGTTGGTGAAAAAACATTTCCTAATATTCAGCCTAAACTGTTCTCCCCTTGGGTTCATGTCACTATGTATCAGAGATATGATCTGGATCCTATAATGTACAAATATTGCCAAGACAGAAAGAAGACATTACTGAACTGTAGTAAATCTTCCCTGAAATGGACACCACAAATTCAGAGATCAGAGAGTGCACCCCATATCCAAGCAGGGATGAATGAACCAAGGAACAGCAAGTGGAAAGCACAGTCCTAAGCCTACCCTCCCACCACTCAGGACATTTCAGGTGAAAGAGTTAAGAGCATTCAAATCCCTTCTTGACTTACAAAACATTCAGAGGACTGATCATAAGCTGAAAATGGAGCACTAAAATATTTGATTGCACTGAAACAACTCTCTGTCTGGACTTCCAGGTGAAAGCTGAAGTTACTATCTGAAGAAAAAACAACCTCCAAAACACAAGCACTTATACTAATGATACTGCTTCGCTGGTTTCTAATAGCAATAGTCAAGAGCAATTGAGACCAGAAATAACAACAACAAACCCCAAACGAACAAACAAAACCCAAGCAACAACGTGAGACCAGAAATAACAACAACAAACCCCAAACAAACAAACAAAACCCAAGCAACAACAACAACAAATAACTGAAAGAGAAACTCACGACCAGTAATAATAAACTTTTCAAAAAATCACCTCTTTTGAGTACACAATTGTTTTATATTCAGAGCATAATGGCATTTACTGGCAAATAAATCATCTCAAAGCTTCATCTTTTTCAGTCAGTTATCCCTTCCAGATACAGATTGAAACTGATTAAAAGAAGAAAAAGTTATTATGAATCTTAATGTTTTACTGCTCAAAATCTCACACAATGAGCTCACTCCTGTGTGCCAACTTTTCAGGTAATGTCAATGCATCTAACTTAGCTTGCACTACCAAAGGGGTTTTGTACAGAAACTGGCACATTTTACAGCAGTGGAGAAGTTTAGCATAAAGTTCACTTCTTCAAGGAGCCATCTATTGAACCACCAGCTAACCAAAGATGAAGAGATGAAAACTTCATCATTATGACAGAGGAAAGCAACAAAAGTAAAAATGCAGCAGGAAAATCCTACACAATACAGGAAGGCTGAATGAACAAGGCTTTCCACCACCAGTTCCTCTAATTTCCTACCAGTAACTATGTTATGATGATAGCTCTATTTGTCAATCTGATAAAGTATTTTATCACTGAAAGCATTGCAGCTGGACACTAAAAGAAACAAGGAAATCTTACGAATATCAGCATCAGATCAGTTATTAGTGTTCAACTATCTTAAAGGTTGCACTTGACCATATAGAAAATTACAGATGGTTCAGCCTGAAAGGTTTATTCTCATTCTTCTGCCTGGCCTTGCTGGAGCCACAGGCACACACTTAAAGCTTACAAAGACTAGCAGTTCTCATGCACTAGGGCTGTCTTGCATCTTCTGTTTTAGAAACTGAGCAACAGAATTAGAAAGGAAAGTTTTAAATCTATGATCAGTCAAACAAGGAGTACCACACAAAACATGGAAAATGTTATTTTACTTGTTTTTTGTTAGATCTAAATGATGAATTGTAAACCACCATCCTTTTAAACATCTCTTGTGGCTGCAAAAGAAAGAAAATTGCCAAACCAGGTGTTAACTTTTTGCTGTAAATAAGTATCACCTACTCATAATTTATCTAACTGCTTATTTTGCTCTCCTAGGGACTGAATCACACTTGGACTTGTTAGTGCTTGTTCCCTGTGTAATTTCAAAATGAGAGAACACACAGAGTGAAATAGTACTGAATGCAAAGTGGGAAGAATTCTAGAGAAACTACATAAATAATGCACATTTCCATACCACAAGATTTCTTAAAAATATTTTCCATTACTGCTTTTACAACTCAGTTCTACAGAACAGTGCTTGGGTCTCTCATCCACTATAGATGAGAAAAAAAAATTGAAAAAAACCTCTAACCCTAAACATGGACAAAATGGTAGACAATAATTTCCAAGGAATTGAAAAGTCATGGTAAAAATATGTTTATGCATTTAAGGTTTTCTTTCCTTCCAAGGATTTCCTATACTGAAGAGGCAAATTCTATTATTAAATTGATATGATTTTATTGTGTTTGGCTTCAAGGTCTTAAATTCCACATTCATTGTTTTTCTGTCACTTCCACTATTCTGACAAAATAGTATGCAGTAGTTTGGAATCACTTAAAATACAGAATGTCTTCTTAGTCTACAAAAATTTTCAAAAATGAAATGGGCTAACCCCCATATTATTATAGAAAACACTACTGACAGTTCCCCAGCCTCTGCTGAAAACAAATGTAGCAAATCAGACAATGTATTTGAGTTTTCTGAAACAATAAAAACTTTGTACAGACCAAATTCTAGCATTTACCTTTTCAAATTCAATTTGCTTTGAAACCAATTACTACATATCAGTTTTACTGATGCTCCTCTCAGTGTCCTGTAGTCCTACCATTACTTGGAAAAAATATATTCCAGAGTTAATAAAATGCGATTTATGTTTAATTAATACAAACTGTAAGTTTTTGTCTTGGAGGACTTATGGGCAAGTTTGGAAAGATGTTCCACAAATCTCTTTAGAACCTCTCTAAAAAAAAAATATTTTCAACACAGATTGTTTTGGTATGGCTATAAACAATACTAACTGAAATTTCCAATCCTCCCCAATCTTGCCACAAGGTATCTAAGCACCTGTCTTGACTTCAGTCCTGCAGAACCAGGCTTCAAATCTTGCAAATTGGATGAAAGCTTAAATGTTATCTTTTATTTTCAGAAATTCTTCCTCTGGCTACGAACGAATAAGGGAGGAAAAATCTTTTATAGCAGCAAGTGCAGCAGAGCCTTGTAACTCACACAACAGGATGTTTTTGATAGATGGGAGAACAGAGACTTAGGTTCATGGCAGTTTTGCATCCATGACAATCTCACCACTAAATTGTAACAGTCCCCTCCTGTTCTCTGAGCCAAAATTTAATT